GTAGATATTTAAAGAGAGCCGTGCACATAAGTCACTTTTACCGGAAATGCTACGTCATGTTACGGAACCATTTCGTCGGGATTTATAACGGTTAAAACATTGTGTAATTATCAGTTAAAAACTCCGACAAAAGAGTTTTGTAACGGAATTGTAGCATTTTTCCACTTTGGTATTTTTAAGTAGCAGTCTGTATAAATAATGGCTTTCAATTTGAATTGTCTACTACTATCTTAATTACCTGTTTGGTGTCCCGAGTGGACTTTGGCAGACCTTGTTTGGCCTCTTGTTAGACGTTTGATTTCATTTACTTATTCAACTAATTACATTCCTAGAATTATCAATTAAGTGTGATTCGACAAAAAGATTTTTTATTTTTTTTAAAAAAAAATCTCGTCTAAAAAAAGTGTGATAAAGAGATGTATGCAAAAAGTTGTTTCTAAAAAAGTGAGATAAATTTGAGTGAATATATATATTCGATAAATATGTAATGTTTAAAATAACAAAATTTTTATTAATAAGATTGATAGTTGTGTATGAATAAATAGTGTTTTTTATTGAGTAATAAATATATATATAATAGCGATTTTTTTTTAACTGTGTAATTGAAAAAATGAGATGATTAAATAACTAAACAAAAATTGTATTTCAGTGGAAATGCCAACCTTGAGAATTGTTGCAATTAAAATATTCTGAGATCTTCATGAAATTTTAGATCGAATTTAGTAATTCAAACTGTTATTTTTTTCATATGTTTTTTACCATTAGATTAGGCAATATTCATTAGAAGTTTTATTTTCACCCATATTTCAACCGTTAAAATCCATTAGAAATTCCATTGGAAATTTCAATGAAAAACTATATCCAAAATAAATTTTTCACTTAAATTTTCATTTGAGTCCATTGAAAAATTTCAACAAAAATAACAGCATTGGAGTATCCATTGAAATTGTCGTTGAATTAATTTTATTAGAGTATTTTTCATTGAAATTTCATTTTTTTATTGTAGTGATTGTTCCTTTTTTTTTTTTTTTTTTTNTAATGACATAAATTTTGGTTCAAACAACAACAACAACAACAACAACAAAAAAGAAAAGAAAAACTATGTTCTCATATTCCTCATCCATCATTTCTATAAATCGAAATAATTGCGAAAATCTAACATATTATGTTAATGGAATCATAATTGACAAATCCAACATATTACATTATGTTCATACAGGCCTTTCTAGAGGTGCCAAATATGGCATCATAGTCGGAGTTGGAATACCCGGGCTAGTGTGCATAATTGGACTAGCATGTTACGCTTGCGGCATTGTCCGGGCTTCCACCCTCCGGCGACAATTAAACTCCGACCTACCCAACACATTTTCTGATCAATGGCCCACCATTAGGTCGGTTAATGGGCTCGACCGGCCTACTATCGAGTCATATCCAACCACGATTCTTGGAGAGAGTCGTCGGCTCCCAAAACCGAGCGATGGCACCTGCCCCATTTGCTTGTCCGATTATCAACCTAAGGAGACAATAAGGAGTATTCCCGAGTGCAACCATTATTTTCACGCGGAATGCATAGACGAGTGGCTCAAGCTCAACAGGAGTTGTCCCTTGTGTAGGAAATCGCCTGAGAGCACGTCCCCTTGCTCGTCTTCACCGTCGATACTTGTTCATCCACAAATATAGGTTGTGATTTGGAAACAAGTCGTGTTCATTTTGTCATTTTCTTTTTTATAATTATACATTTTGTGTATATATTGGATTTTATAAGTTGTCTGATATGATTCATTGTTGGCTTTTATACAATGCTCGAGTTGTAATGCTTCATGGAGCTTGATTGTTT